AGCACCTCCGAGGATTCGGAGAGTGCCAGTCAGGCTTCAAAGCCCTCTTCTACAACTATCCCTGATGCACTAACATCTACTGTCGATGATATTTCGGATGATGGCCGAGGGGGTGATACTATAAATTCCGGCCTTGAGAGGTCGAAAAAAAGAGGTCTGGGAGGACTGTTTCATCAGTCTAGCTCCCTTCACCAGCTTTTGTGTGTGGCGGCCGGTGAGATCGCTCACTCTTGAGTGACAGTTTTAACTTAAGGATCTTGAAAAGTATAATCCAGCAGTATTGAGACAGTTCTGAAAGCGGAAGGGGTGGATGTGGTTCACCCAGACTGTTGGAGTATCTGGTCCGGGAGTTCTATGCCAATGTGGCGCACATAAATAAAGGGACCAAAGAGACAAAAGTGAGGAATCTTAAGGTGAGATTTGACCAACACACACTAAACACCTACCTATTTGTGGTTTGAGGATGTTGAGCTAGTACAGTACTTGGAGAACCTGGCGATGGGTGATGCAGCTCGTCCATGGCTAGCTGAGATTCTTGCAGCCCCGGGGCCACCTCCACCATAAATCACATAAGGGGTTCCTATTCAGCGGAACCCCCTAAACTTTGAGGCGAAGGGATGGCAGACCTTCTATGCAGCAGACTAGACACGTGCCAGAATGAAACCTACCTACCTACTCCACAGGCAGTTCTAGTCGCCTTTATTATGGTCGGGTACCCTATCAATGTGGGTGTCGTGATATCGGCCAACATGTCAGTGGTCGCCAGGCAAGCTGATACCTCCTACCCGTATACCAACGCCATCACTGAGTACATTACGGATGCACGGGTAGAGCCCAGAGATTTTGACACGAAGGTTAGGCTAAGAAGCCCTTCCTATGGTATTTTCTAATGGATACACACAACCCGAAGAGAAAGGGTCAGCCGACTACCACCGTAGGCAAGTCTGATGAGCCATCGGTGGTAGCTGCAGAGACAGCCGATATGCCATCTACTTCAGTAGAGCCTTCAGCTAGTGCAGTTGCCATATCTCCACCTTCAGCCTCAGTGCCTTCCACCTTGGCTTTGAAACCAGTGCCTATGCCCTCTTCTCTACTCTCTGCGCTGCAAATCTCCCAAACACTGGCGAGCCTCAACAACTGGATGCAGACAGCTACTGCAAAGCTATCTTACATATCCGGTCATGTTGCAGCACAATCATCTATTCCGCACCACAAATTCCCCCCATAGTTGACGAAACCTTGAAGAAGCTTCTGGAAAATCAAAAGACTATTATGGCCACTCTGGTACAACATGGGTCCGTGATTGAGGAGCTGGCCAAGGAAGTGAAGAAGAAGCGGAAGTCCCATGCCTCCAAGAAGTTAGTGGACAAGATCCGGCGACAGGTTACCAAGATTGTAGCAGCCGAAGACATTCTATTTGATATGTTGATAGACCCGCACCACCCAGGCCCAGATCCTATAGAACCTACAATACATACTGGCCAGTCTGAGGAGCCAGAAACTACTACTGATACTGCTAAGGCAATCCGTAAGATGTTCACCAACCCAGCCACTCCCGGACTTGAGGATGATGATATCCAATTGGATGAGGCTGAGGTCGGTGCCACTGGTGGGGACACAGAGATGGCCACAGAGCCATAGGGAGTTTTCTTCACTCTTACCCTTCTTTTACTCTTGTATTGTTAAGCATTGGGGACAATGCTTATTTTTATATGGGGGTGGAGTATCTTTGACACATTCTGATGATTCTGTATTTTGATAACTATGAGACATTTGGCCTGTAATTAATTTATTAGTATTTTCATCCTCTTTATTATTATGTATATATTCCCTCTTATCTCTCATTATGTATATTCATTTAGCTTTCAATAGTTCTTTTGTTTTATAGCTTCTTTATCTTTATGTTTGTCTTCTTTTTGAATTAGTAGCTTCTTTTTATGTCTTAGTGGATAATAAGCCTTCGGTTTTTTTAATGTCACGGTTCTTTTCAAAGGTAGTTTCTGTGTGAACCGGGTGGCACTTCCCAACGTGGATGGTGTGACAACCTTCTTTAAGGGATTGAGTCTGTTTTGGTGTTTAGCTAATAATAGTAATATTAATGAATAAAAAGACCTAATTGGGTCATACTCGAAGAGTCAAACATGCTGCACTTGGTACCAACACACTTAACTGCATGCCTATGATTAAACAAAATAAGGATTTTGGAAAGAAATAGCTCTAGTTAGTGACATTGTAACTCTTGTGTTGACTTAAGCTATCATCGAGCGGTTTAACCAAACCATAGTGATTTTTCAATCTTAAATATGGTTGTTGTAGGCCCTTGACTCTATCCTTTTTAACAAGCCAGCTGCGTGAGAGGTGAGATGTTGTTGTTGCAAGTCCAAGTACCCTTGCGAATGGTCTAGAACTTGCCCTGAATGTGTTTCTAGGCAAAATTTTAAGTTTTGCTTGGCTTGAGAAGTGATTGTAGTCTCTCCTTGACCCGGTTGAAGTTTTCCATGGCCCACCAATGTTGTTATCCCTAGTCAAACCATTTGAGCCTAAAAGCTTTCTCATTTGATAAACATATTACAAGACTTTACCCCGAGCTATCCTTAACACTCTTGTGAAATAATTGGCTAAGAACGTAAGTTTAGGGGAGAGGCGAGGAGCTTGAAAGAGGTATCAAAGCATAAAAAAGAGAAAAGAAATTATGAGTAGAAAAGGCAAGAAAAAGGAAGAACAAAAAAAAATGCAAAAAGAAAGTGAATAAGGTGAAGAGTTGAAGGGATTCAAAGAAAAGTAATGAGGAAAAGCATGGAGAAATCAAAGGAGAAAATGAATATCATGATCAAGAAAGAGTGATGGTACGTCTCTCTAGTTCCCCTAAGTAAAATAAAATGCCTCAAAGAATTGGCAAAGCATGATCCAAGAAAAGAAAATGAGTGCTTAAGGAAAGATGAACCTGTTCTATCATAGCATATCCAACCTTAGTCCAAAAGGCCTTCATTGCACTCTGAAAAAGCCCTACGTGATTTCAACCCGAGTGAGCTTACATTAGTGGTAATCTACATGAGGGGCAAGCCTATGGTACTTAAAGATGTACTTGTAACATTCTTTTGAGAGAGATGAGTGAACCTTTCGCAAATCTTTGGATTGAGTACTAAATTCTTAAGTGAGATAGGCAAATGGAAAGTAGAGGAGGAGGAGTTTGGGATCCACAATGACCTATATAAAAGAGCGAGCTTCCTTGATGAATAAAGTCAACTCTTGAGGCTCAAGTGTCACTTGAGATTCCTTCATCAGGTGCATGTCCTGTCTAACCGCTTCTCCCCAATATATTTTTGGCCTACCTCTATAGCTCCTTATACTCTCCAAGGCCAACCTCTCACACTTCCTTACTGGAGCATCTGTGCCTTTCCTATTCACATGTCCGAACCATCTTAGCCTCGTTTCTTGCATCTTGTCCTCTACGAAGGCCACTCCACCTTGTCCTGAATGTCGTCATTCCTAAAAATGTTCTCTACTAAAAGATTTTTAATTGCTAAACTAAAATTTTCCCTATTTACAGATCCACAACTCAAGTCCATAGGGAGTTGTGTACAAAACTTAAACTCACAAATTATAATATTGGCGTACAGATTACACAACTCTTAAATTAAAGTTCAAAAGATACTACCAAAGGTACTAATTTTTTAGTTCTGTAATTGCAATAAGTTTCGCTGCTGAATCGAATAAGTACGGTATTTGTTTACTTTTGCTACTTTCTTTGACTCGTCTAAAATTGTGAAATAATGTCTTTCATATACAAACTAAACATGCCAAAGACCAAAAAAATAAGAAAAGCAGACAACATTTTTACAGGACTCCAAAAAGTCACGAGGACCAAGTTAAAATCATCTTTATAACCACCTACTACGCACGCATAGTGGCCAAAATTGCAATTGACACTGACAAGGAACAAAGAAATTAAATAGAACTATAGTACTAGAATTTGGATTCCCATTTATGCTAACATTTTTTTCGAGCTAGTTGTGAAGAGGCATAGTCAAGATTTAAAGTTTATCGGTTTTGAACTTGTCATCGACTCATAATTTGTTTTAGTTATTGAGTTCGAAAAATATTTATACATATTCAATGAACTTTTAATACTTATATAATCTAAGCAAAAGTTAATCAATTTGTCTGAATTCATACCTAATACTGTAGCCCGAAATCTAGAGTATCATTTATAAGTTCACTGGAACTCAATAGCTTTTGTCGGATCCTTTATATAATTAAGAAATACACTAAATATCTCGAATATTTGATTGTAACTCAATTATTAATATCGTATATTAAATTGACGTCGTTGTAGGAATATATAAATTTTAAATTTTGGATCCGCCTCGGTAGCCCGCACCCTAGTTGTCGTCATTGCTTTCATCTTCATCTCAGACCTGTTGCTTCCTGGAAATCAGCACTTAACTCAGGACCTCCCGTAACTAAGGGGACGCTCTAGCCAACTAAGCTATAAGAGCTTATTGCTTTCAGTTCAAACAATTAATCTCTATAAAATTCAAATATAGATACGAATGGTAAATTTGCTGAAAAAACATTATTAAGTAATCGGTAAATTTGCTGAAAAACATTATTAAGTAATCGATTGTTTCTTGTTTTTTAAAAATATTTAGTATTGAAATAATTAAATTTTGTTTAACAATTAGTGGTTGAAACTTGAAAGTGGATTATGATATCAATGGGATTATTGGAGTTTAACTTATATACACTAGCAAGTAAAAGAATTTTTACAAAAAGATTTCTACATATAACTAACCACAAAAATCTAGATTTGATATTTTTTAAAATTAGGCAAATTACTTGTTACAACCGTAAATACAATATAATAATGTAAAAATCTTTATGTTGTAGTGAATATGAGTTAAACTAATCAATGGACCCTCACACCTTTTTTCNATATATATATATATATATATATATATATATATATATATATCTTTACCTTCTTTATACATATCGATTGTCAACCTCTCTATCTCTCGTTCTTTATTTCTTTGCTTGCTTCATCGTTCTCTCTTGTTCTTTGTTCTCCTCAACTTTCTCCAGACTTTGGCTAAAATAAATCTTAGCTTGAAAAAGGAAGAGAGCAGATATAGTTATAATTTCCAAGAAATATTGAAGGAATGGCCAAAATTACTAATAGGTAAGTTCTTCAATCACTTTAATGTGTTAAAAATAGTCTTGTGGTTTCACGATAAAATTTAGTGATCTTATTATTATAGCACATAAGATTCAGTTACTTCGGCGCAAAAAAAGTTATTTTATAACTTTACTGTTATAATGAGTAACCAGAATGTATTTACATTTGCAGATTTGGAGGACATGATATGTTAGCACCCTTCACTGCTGGGTGGCAGAGTGATATGGGTCCTTTAATTATAGAAAAGTCGGAGGTTAGATTTGTACCTTTCTATTGGTTATTTACTTGAGAAATGTTTTGTGTTAATTTAACAATATCTGTGTTATTTGGAACAGGGTTCCTATGTTTATGACATAAATGGGAAGAAGTACCTTGATACTCTATCTGGTTTGTGGTGCAATCCCTTAGGTGCGTTGCAATCCCTTAGATAAGATTTTGCAAGTTCGAGTATATTTTTATTTATTTAATTATGTTTTCAATATGTCTTTTAAGTGTGGGTTGGTTTTTTTTTCATATTCATTTTCAAATTGAATAGCGTTAGATTCGAAATCACGAAATCAGGACCTTGCTTTGATACCACGTTGAAATATATGATCAATCTTATTTACTAAAAATTTAACCTTGTTAGACAGAGTATATTTAATTAATTTATTGTAGGGGGAAATGAGCCTCGTCTTGTTGAAGCTGCAAATAAACAACTCAACACATTGCCATTTTACCATTCATTTTGGAATCGTACAACAAAACCTTCTTTGGTATGTCAAACTCTCAGTTGAGCAGTTAATGTCCAGATTTGGCTATTATATTTTACTTAGATGACAGGTTAATTTTTTTTTTTAAACATACAGGATCTTGCAAAGGAGCTCATAGATTTGTTTACTGCAAATAAAATGGCGAAAGCTTTTTTCACAAATAGTGGATCAGAAGCTAATGACACTCAGGTTTTGGTTATTGCCTTCCGATATCACTACTACTATTACTCCCTCCATTCCAGTTTACGTGAAACTATTTCCTTTTTGGTCCGTTTCAAAAAGAATAACCCCTTTCTAAATTTGAAAAGAATTTAGCTTAAACTTACAATTCTACCCTTAATGAGAAGCTTTTATAACCACACAAATACTCTGGCCCTTTTTTGATTTGCTTAGGACCACAAATTCTAAAAGTCTTCATTTTTTCTCAAACTCCGTGCTCAGTCAAACAGGTTCACATAAATTGAAACGGAGAGAGTACTATTTACTGCTGCTACAATTACTACTATTATTACTATTATTATTATTATATTATTATTATTATTAATATAAAAAGCCATCTTATGGTAGCGAGATACGATACTGACCCTTACCTTCAATTGCACAAAATAAAAGACAGTACACAAAGTATTTCACGTTCACGTAAGGTATGACCCTCGAGTAATATAACAGCCTATTCTAATGCACACATCAATGGCTGATTTCACGGCTCGAACCCGTGGTCCATTTGCCCGAGACTCCCCTTCAATTGCACAATCTATCAAACTCAAGGTCATTTTGTGGAAAGATTTTCGAGGATATTAAATAATCTTTGACCCATACATGTCAATTTGTAGGTGAAGCTAGTTTGGTATTACAACAATGCACTTGGGAGGCCAAAGAAGAAGAAATTTATTGCTCAAGCACAAGCGTACTCTGATTTCTCAACCCATGCTCTATTATTATTATTATTATTATTATTATTATTATTATTATTATTATTATTATTATTATTATTATTATTATTATTATTAAGTATTATTATTATTATTATTATTATTATTATTATTATTATTATTATTATTAAGTATTATACTGAGTATTCTCATATTACTCAAAATCCGGATGGAAGGATTTGCATTCAGTTTGATGATAATAGTTCCACTTATAATAGACAGTCATTTTCCAATAATAGACTGTTGTCTGCTATTAGTTCTAATTATAATAGACATTCCCTTACCAATCGTAGACTGTTGCCTGATATTCAACATATTTCTCCTGTTGAACCAGTCTATGGACCACCTAGAAATCGTGCTGCATCTTTACACACAATTTCTACTAAAGTAGGTGATAAACCTGTTGAGAGGGTTAAGATTAACCCCAAAACAAATATTGTTCAGAAAAATGATAATATTTCTGATAAGGATATTCCTTCTGCGTCCGAGATGGATTTTGACCCAAATGATGTTTAAATGATTTCACACCAAATAGATTTTAGTCCCGGGTCACAAGCTAGAGGTTATATTTAGAAAGAATTTTTCAGTAAAAAAAGGAACTGGTTTAAAACTTGGTTTTTTGATACTTATAGTAAAGAGGATTTAAACAATATTTCTCAAGAATTTTATGAAACTTGTGCTTTACATAATCAAATTATGTATTTTGTTCCTTGGTTTATAACCACATATTTACCACTTTTTATAAAAGTTTTAGAAAGATCTTATAAAGACGGGAGTGGCAATATTACTAAATCTATTTACCCTCCTCAAGCACCTTTTATTTTACCTAATAATACAGGTATTACTTTTACTGCATTTCAAAAATTTATTAATGAAGATGTTGCTGCAGTCAGCATCGCAGAAATTAATAAATTAATTTCTTAAAATAATTATTTGAGCTTATATGTTAAAGTTTTGGGAGAACATATTAGTTTTCTTGATAAAAAACTTGATGATTTAACAATTTTGATAAAAGAAATGAGTTCTAGCAAGAAAATAACTGATATTGCCTCTACTTCAGGAAGCAAATCAGGAGATAAAATTGTTCTTACTCATATTCAAAGACCCCCTGATATTCAGGATTTTAAATTTAAATCTTTTGAGCAACGTGTTAAATCTTTACCTTGCTTAACCCTTGCTAATCCTACATGGCAAAAGATTATAGAGACTGGTGCGTCTAATATTGGTTACGGAGGGATTTTGAAACAGATAAATTCCAATAATAAACATGAATATCTGATTAGATTCTACTCTGGTAAATTCAAATTCTTTTTCAAAAGGTTTTGCAAAACTAGAACTTGAATTAGAACTTGAACTAGCAGCCAAATTAATAATTTTTTCGCGAAGTTTTTCATCAGTAACTTCTTTTAAAAGTTCTATTACATTACCACATGTAATAGTTTTCATATTTAAATTTTCAAATTGTGATTGTAATTTATAAAATTCATCATCACAAGCACATGTATCACCTTTGCAAGTTGTACAAGTATTATCAACATTTTTATCACTATCAGATAAATCAAGTAAATCTATTTCATCTTCGGATTCTGACTCAGAATAACAATCCGATTCTAATCCAGAAGTATATAACAAACCATAAACCTTATCACGTAACTCATCGTCTAGTCCTAAGGTTTTCAGCTTTTGAAGCTTACAATTCGGAGCTATATGGCCAAATTTACCACACTTATATCACTTAATGTCAGCTAGATCTCTCTTAGACCTATTTTTGGTAAATCTAGTAGCCTTACGATGGGCTTTCTTAGCTTCTCGTTCTTCTTTGGATCTATATCTAGATCTCCTTCTCCTATAAGGACTAACTTGGTTGGGGTATCTATGATACTTATGTTTCTTCTTCTTATGAGTAGAAGTCTCGGGTAAACCGAACTGGGTGCAAAAGTCCCCTAATTGGTTTCTTTCCTTAAGCTTATCCATTTTAAGCTGTCTGGACAATCTTAATTCATTGCACAGATTTAACCCTTCCTGTGTGCAAATTCCCATCAACTTATCATAGGTATAATCTCTATATGGAATTTTACCATAACTACCTCTTAAAATCTTTCTAACTCTTTCAGCAAATAAAGAGGGAAGGCCATCTATAAACTTAGCTTTCCAATGTTCAAACTTATTTTCTGGTAGTTCCATCACTCTACTCATAAAAGTGTCTTTATATCATCTAAACTCACTTAAAGTCTTACATCTAAGGCTATTAAGAAGAGTACGAACAGTCTCATTCTGGTTGGTAAATCTACCATTAAAGTGTTCTAATATAGTAAGAATAAGGGTATAAACGACATCTTCTCTATTTGCCACTAGGGCCATACCTAAGTTATCAACTCCTTCGTCAATGGCTTTAGCGTTAATAACTATTGCCCTTTCTTCGACAGTCAAATAATTATCCCACCAGCCACGCAGTTGGCCAGTAAAACCTGCAACAATCATTCTGCAAATATTTCTATCTGTATTTTTCACGCTTTTACAGATAGTTATATACATAAGCATTCTATGTACAAGAATAGTTAATTGCCTATCAGTCAAATCATCAAGATTCCATTCATAAATTTCGGAACCACTATAAGACGTATTAGTCTGATTTCAATCACGTTCCTCTATTAAAACATCTTGAGGAGTAGGACGATTGTAATAATAAGTCTGCATACTAGGTTTATTAGCATATCTGCTATCAGTAAACTTATTATTTTTTTTGGGATAACTTTTGAGTTTATTAAACTCTAACAAAATATCATTTTTATAATCAAAAGTAGCATCCATTTTATCAGCAAAATCTTTTGATAAATCAATAGGTTTGATATTCAAACCGGATAACTTTTTATCAAGAAGTTCTTCTAAGTCATCAAAAGATTTAAATTTAAAATCCTGAATATCAGGAGGTCTTTGAATATGAGTAAGAACAATTTGAGGTTCTGATTTGCTTCCTGAAGAAGAGGCAATATCAGTCAAAGTCTTTTTAGTATTCATATCCTTAATCAAGACTGTTAAATCATCAAGTTTTTTATTAAGAAAACTAACGTTTTCACCCAAAACTTTAACATATAAACTCAAATAATTATTTTGAGAAATTAATTTATTAATTTCTGTGATGCTGACTGCAGCAACATCTTCATCAATAAATTTTTGAAATGCAGTAAAAGTAATACCTGTATTATTAGGTAAAACAAAAGATGATTGAGGAGGGTAAATGGCTTTAGTAATATTGCCACTCCCGTCTTTATAAGATCTTTCTAAAACTTTTATAAAAAGTGATAAATGTGTGGTTATAAACCAAGGAACAAAATATATAATTTGATTATGTAAAGAACAAGTTTCATAAAATTCTTGAGAAATATTGTTTAAATCCTCTTTACTATAAATATCAAAAAACCAAGTTTTAAACCGGTTCTATTTTTCACTGAAAAATTCTTTCTGAATATAACCTCTAGCTTGTGATCCAAGACTAAAATCAATTTGGTGTGGAATTATTTAAACATCATTTGGGTCAAAATCCATCTCGGATGCAGAAGGAATATCCTTATTAGAAATATTATCATTTTTCTGAATAATATTTGTCTTGGGGTTAATCTTAACCCTTTCAACTGGCTTATCACCTACTTTTGTAGAATATTTTTGCAAAGATGCAACACGACTTCTAGCTGGTCCATAGACTGGTTCAACAGGAGAAATATGTTGAATATCGGGTTATAGTCTATGATTTGTAAAAGAATGTCTATTATAATTAGAACTAATAGTAGGTAACAGTCTATTATTAGAAAATGACTGTCTACTATAAGTGGAACTATTATCGTCAAACTGAATGTAAATTCTTCCATCCGGATTTTGAGTAATATGAGAATACTCAGTATTACTGACAGGATCAGTTATCTGACTGGGGGATATAACCGAATCCAAAGTCCATGTAGTTGGAAAATTAATTTTCTCCCACTTAATAGGTCTCCTCGTGGTGACCTTAGACTTTGCAAAATTCGTTTCTACTAAAATAGTCTGATCAGATGTATCATATAATTTACATCTGAGGTTTAACATAGATAGCAATTTGAAATAAATCCTATACGATAAACATATAAGTTCAGAACCAGGCGCATAATTATAACCATGCATTTTCACATTTAATGTTAATGCATCAAGTATATTAACATCAGATAAAGATAATTGTAGATTGGGTTGAGTATTAAAATATACTGGGCCGTAGGCAACAGTAGATTCAATAGAACCCATTAGAGACTGTCTGAAATTCAGATTTCTAGCATCTCTAAGAGCGGCTAAAAATGTCTCTGGTAACCCTTTAAGGGTTAATGACTTAAAAGCTATTTGTACCATACCAATATGCAAATAATTATACTGGTGTTTATAAACATC